AGCGTCCATGTTCCTAGTAGTAAGGCCAGGAGCCCCTAATAGCGTCCTTGTGGCAGTTACTACGACAAGTTAGATAAGATTTTGTTGCCAGAGGAAGGGACAGGGCAGTCTTGTGTTTGAGCACAGATGCGAGAATGTGACAACCATATTCGGTTTTTACTGAACTACCCACCACTACACCTTAGAAGCACGATCCACAACAAAAATCGTCTTCATGCTACCTCTACTTTACCTTATACTAGTAACAAGTGCCACGCTAGTAGTAACAAGTGCCACGCTAGTAGTAACAGGTGCCTTACTAGTAGTAACAAGTGCCACGCTAGTAGTAACAGGTGCCTTACTAGTAGTAACAAGAAGCTTGCTCAGAACCGTTGCTCCCCCCCGGAGAAGACGATTTCTGTCCTTCAGCGTCGATTCTCTGAGGCCACCGCTACGTCGGAAGCCCTAAACCCGAGTGATGGGAGGGTAGTCCATTTGTTTTGTGTTTCTGTGGAGGGGTAATAGGCCAGTAATCAGAGCTAACAATGTAACAGGTAAGTAGCTAATTTGAGCAGTAAGAGGGGTAAGGATCTAGTAGCTATTAAGTAGCTACCATTACCTAGAGCTCAGGCTTCTTCAAGGAACCTTCCTTGAAGACCCCTCCCGTGATTAAGATGGTTCCTAAATTTGTTTGGGAATGTCAACACTTGAAGTCCTTCACTATGGCGTAGTAATGGAGTTAGGAAGCCGCTTCCTGTTTGTTTCATGCGTCAATACTTCCAGTTGATTTCATGCTATCCTCAGATCGGGTGGTTTTAGATGATGCACATTCACCCCTTGTTGGCTCTCAGTATTTGGGATGATCCTCAAAGTCTGAACTGTCTCCAATTTTGTTGCATGCTTTTTATTCTTTCAAATTTAGTCCCTCATCAGTAAATGTTCATATCTTTCCAACTGTGGTATGCTGCCTCCACCTCGTAGAGGAACCCTCCTTCAAATCCGCAGATGAATGAGAAAACCAATTGATTTTCATCATTTTCTCATCATTGTTCTCTGCATGGCCACATATGGCCACCATACCTTGGGCGCTTTGCCCGTGTGAATTCAGGACTGACGGGGGGCTGAAGAGAAAGCTTGACCAGGCCAGTGGACGACGGCAAAGCTTGATCACCTGTTCTTAACTCGTAGCACTAAGTGCAACCTTTATTAAGAAGAGGATCTTGTTCAAAAGGGTTTTAAAGCGTTTAGAACATTCGATACGCTTGCACACTGTCCTTCTGACCGAAGTTGGGCCGAGTTTTTTGAAGCACTCTGTCGCGTCAATAGCAGACCTTGCCAAAATGTGTGGTGCAAACAAACTTGCATGTATATCGTAGCCCGGCTTAGGATCACAAAACCAACATTATATATATATATATTTATATACATGTATATTTGTAATTGTTGTTTTTTTCTTTGGACCCTTTTCTCTTTAGAACGTCTTCTATTTTCTTTCAGACATTTTTGTTCATGGGATCATGGGATTCCAGATGAACTCTGATTGTTCACACTGCTGTTGGATTCGATGTTTCGTCATCTAACACACAAAACCTTGCAAGCAAAGCGGGTGGAGGTCATCGCTAGTACTCTTTTGCCTGATATTCACAGGTCGCTGCAGGCATTGGCCTTCCCAGCCCAAAGGTGCCTGCCGATGGGGAAGTGGGTGGACAATAATTGGCCATGCTGTTTGTGCGTTGTCACCTACTGACCGGGTGACCGTTGGCCGCATCTAAACCTGTAGGCGTATAGGGAAGAACATTGCACCAAAGTGCATGGTCAATCAATCAGTGAAGAACATTGCACACTTTTTCTTGCTTGATCACATATTTTGCACTCCCATTGGTGGGGGCGAGCCAATATGCTGACAATTGTGCAGAAGCACAGATGTAACTCTCGGAGAAGATGCCTGCAAGTATAAACAAAAACACATGTTTTGCAAGAAAAGATGATGGACCAACCAATCTCAAGAATCTGTGTGGTCTGCAGCAGCAGCTTTGCGCATGGTCTAACTCAAGAATGATGTCAATCGCCACCTCCCAGCCTTCTAGACAACGAGTATGTGGGGACACTGGTGGGTGTCAAAGCGTCTTTTGCGCCACACACACCCAAAAACTGCGGTTGTTGACGAGGCCAGCAAAGGAGCCGCGAAGGCCACTCACCAAATTGGTGTCGAAAGCAGCCACAGAGTCTGTACGTTGGACAGTGACCATTTTTCCACTGGGATCAAACGATTTCAACCGCACGTGGTTCTATCTAGTTTCGAATTGAATCTCAACTCTCAAATCATTCGATAATGAGATGTTCAGAAGTTGGAACAACCATGACGACGTGAAGCAGTTCATCACTCTAATTTCCCAACTTTCACAGGCATTGCAAGCAAGTCCTGATGCAACTCCTTGTGTCTTGCATAATTTCCGAGCTAGCTGAATTGCAGGGTGCAGCCACGCCACCTGAGCCCAAGGCAGGCAAAGGCCGGGTCAAGATAAGATCTGAGAGCACATCCACATTGGGCAAAAAGGTTGAAAGGATGTTGTATGATGTTGTATGGTGGAGCTATACACCGGAACAACAACAGTGAGAGCTTGCATACCATGCTGAAAATAGTCCTTGAGCGTCTCCTGCCGACGAAATTCGCTCGTTGAGATCGTGAAATGGCTTTATGCTGATTGGTGTGAATGTGCTTTCTTTGACGTTTACAAATGAATCACGCTTAAAGAAACACCCAGAAGTTGACGAAATTGTCTTGTGTCACAGTTATGTCGGTACGAGGTCTGGTTGATTGAGGGCCGAAAACTCGACCACCTCGCATCCGATGCCAGGTGGAGCTGCCAAAGGTGCTGTACAGGGCTTGGTATCTTTGAGACGAAGGTTACTGAAATAGAGAACAGACTGATTAGATTTGATTAGATCTTAGCGATCTGATTGGTCCGTGTCTCCTGCAAGGCTTATCAAAGGACCCAGTGCCCCAGTAAGAAGAAACACTTAATTTATTTGGTGTGTCTTATCAACTTGCGAAAGAAACAAGTTTCGAAAAGGACGCTACTAGGGGCGCCTGGCCTTACTACAAGGAACAAGAAGCTCCTAGGAGCAAAGGGCATCGCTACTAGGAGCAAGGACGCTACTAGGGTGATCGAACATCGCCGACGTCGTCGCCATCCCAACAACTTTGAGGTGCTGACCCCGAAGGCCCGTCGCAAGAGTGGGACTGAATGGTTCCAAAAGTACCGAAATACCTTTTTTCCATCGACTTTGACCGATACCGAGCTTGTTTGATTTTCTTTCTGAAGCCTCAAGTTCGAGATCAATGCATGGAAATGCACAGATTGACAGATATCAGATTTCTCAACATAGAGCCTTGTGACATTTTGAGACTTGCTATATCCAGGAATTCTACTAGTAGCAAGAAGCTAGGAGGTTGGAGGCCATCGCTACTAGTAGCAGGAGGAATTCAAAGTGTCCTTTAAAGTGACATTGGAAGCTGCTCTCTCGCCTTCTCGTTTAATTGATGACTCGAAAACCTGTGCAGGCAAAATCTATGCCTGGGGCGCCAGCAGAGGACTAGAAGATAAACGCTGAAGTCAAACATGTTGTCAAGCGGTGGCAATTGCTGAAAGCAAGACGGCTGTTTGTGTCATGTCCCATCCTGCCGATGTACACTCTAGTAAATCGTGGTAAAAAACATGTTTTGACTAGTAACAAGAAGCTATTAGGGGCTCCTGGCCATACTACTAGGAGCAGGGACGCTACTAGGGGCTCCTGGCATCGCTACTAGTCACAGAGTGCAGGGCTTCGGAGTCAAAGCGGATCCGGTGACAGGACGAAGCAGAAACGCCTGCCTCTCCAACCCCAGGCTGGTGAGTTCACACACCGAATCGTAGCTACTAACGCTTCGCAACGGTTCACAACTTCGCGTGGCCCTTTATTCTTCTCAAGTCCTGGGTGCAACAGTCAGAGCACTTGAGAGCTGGGAAAGTGATGAGCACTAACACTAATCGGCACTTCACTTCCTGTCAGGATTTTGGGGGATCCCCTGATCCCCTCAGACAATCCATGAAACTCCCATGTGTCAGCACAAGGTGCGCACAAATTGATCTGATTTTCGGACAGATCCGCACAGCCCTGAAGCGAAACGAAGCCAAAGCGGATCTGCGCAGAGCTGTGAGGCTTGCCAAAGCCACAGAAGTTCGTTCCAGCCTCCAAGGCGAAGGCAGGGCTCTGAGGAAGACGAAAGTGGAGGAAGACTATGCATTTTATGCTTAGGATGAGTACGGATGATTTGGGTCATTCATCCTGCTTTCCGGTGGAATGAGTTTTGGTAGGAAGTGGGCACTATGCCAGGATTTGTGGAGGGTCTGGTCTCTCTCCATGGACTTATGACGACTTATGCTCGAAGGCATCCCCAAGTGCCACATCATCCAGCGAAGGGCACACGGCAATGCCGCAATGCCTTTCTTTGTAGTTTACCTTCCACTACTATACAGTATAAGCCCACTTATTTAACGATGTTTTTGTGTTTCAGTGTTTTATTTTTTTGGCACCGTTTTCTTCTTTGTTGCTGTGATTTTCTTCTTTCCGTTCACATTTCCCACAAGCTCGACTTCTCCCGACCTGTCGCCAGCCAGCGGAACCGAAAGCTGAGCCTCCCAACGGCAAGTCCGGGGGGAAAGGCGCGGTGAGGGCACTGAGAGCACCATGGAACATCCCAGAAACGTCATGGACCGCCAGTTCCACGCAAGATTGCGTCATTTATGGTATTGCGATTGGATGGTTGAGCCATGCTAGAGAGCAATCAGAGTAGTTACAAAGAACTAACCTGATAGGAAGAAGACGCTAATTCAACGTAAATCATATCACAAAGTTCTGTGTCCGTCTCCGATGGGATATCTAAGGGACATCAAAGATCTAATTATTCTAGATTAGTAGCTTCTTGCTCCTAGTAGTAAGGCCAGGAGCCCCTAGGAGCGTCCTTGCTCCTAGTAGCGATGCCCTTTGCTCCTAGTAGAGTCCTTGCTCCTATGATCTCCTATGCTACTATTCTCTTGGGGAACCCTCCGAAAAAGCATTTGGGAACGCCTCTCGCTTCCCCAGGCGTCCCGCCCAAGAAGGTGGGAGAAGGGCGGGAGTGTCACCGTTTTGAAGATTGAAGCGACGACTTGACTCGTTTGGACTCCGAGTCTTTGGACTCCAACGTTTGGGTAGGAGCAAGGACGCTACGAACGGAGCAAAGGGCATCGCTCAAATCTCTTTGAAGCTTTTTGTCCTTTCAAACTATCATGTCACTTTTCGGTGTTCACTCCCAATACCGAGTTCTTGGGCGGAGACCCACTCAAAAGGATTTCCTGTGGCCGACCGGCAGCCGGCTCCAGGGGGCAGTTCCCACACAGAAAGGAGCTGGGAAAGTCTGAGCCTGTGATTGTTTGGTTTGGTCTCGTGGACTGGTGTTGCCTTTTGATTGTGGAGCCAAAGGGCATCTATCTTGAAGTTGTTTGCCTCGATGATCACCGCAGTTGAGATGTAACTGGCACAAGAACTTACCACCATATTTCGCTCATGATTCGCCTAGTGCAGATACCCTGGCCAAGCGTGTGGGCGCAGCTTTTCCACATCAAGCCGCCTTTGATCGCCGGCTGCCCCTTGTGGCGATGCAGTCCAGCTGCAGCACGGTGAACAGATTCATTAAGCAGCACATGAGATGGAACAAACACCATGAAGCCCTTGAGCCGTGTGGGAGGGAGCAGCCATTATACGAGGGCACGGCTTTTGGAAATATCCATGATCCCCAGTCTCCAGAATAAACACCCAAATCCTTCTTTGGCGTCCCATGAGTTCCTCCTTACAGAATCACGATTGACGTGTGCAGATCTAAAATCAGCTTACTCCTACTTGCAACAACTCGCAACCCCACATACTCACGCGGCGTTTGCAAAGTTGCTACCATGGGTTTCCTGGACTCCTGGCATGGGCTGGCAACAGAAGGCACGACTGCGAAGTGATCAAATACCCTCACACTTGCTATAAATGGCTATAAACCAACCAAATATTCTTCCCCCAACCGATTCTTCATATTGACAAAGACTCACCAGGTCATGAACTGCTGGCACAGCTGAAGAGCAGCTTTTGGGAGCTGCCGGACCCGCGGGGAGCAGAAGGAACATGTCTGTGACTTAGGTGACGAAAGTGGGTTTTGGACCGATGAAGTACATGTTCCTGATTTGCATTTTGGAAGATGTCGTTGGACTTCCGAACGGTTTTGCAATTAGCAGTATCACTAGGATGCCAATGGACTCATTCTGGTTCTCGAAGGAAGCATCAAGGAAAGACAGCTATTGCTGTAGACAGACAAGATGTTGGGAATTATCCAGATGGAAGTGTGACCCAACACGAAGGTAGTTGTCAAGCATTCATCACCGGGCAACCAATCAACGCCGTCGATAGAGTAGTTGCATAGAATGTGCCAAGAATCGAACGCATACCGCTTAGCTTCTTGTTACTAGTAGTAAGGCACCTGTTACTGGTAGCGATGCACTTGTTACTACTAGCTTAGTATCAAATTACCATACTCCGGACTCTATACGCAAAAAATGTAATTCTTGTTTCTACGTTCGCTTCTTGTTACTACTAGTAAGGCACTTGTTACTAGTAGCGATGCACTTGTTCCTAGTAGCTTCTTAAACGTTTCAAGGAGCCTGAGATTACTAAGATGGGGAACTTTTCTGCAAGCGGCATGCTTTTCGCAGGAAGACAGTCCCATGCGACACCCGGCTCAGCTACGGAATGGTCTTTGTGTAGATCATTGGCTAGGCCTGCTTTGCAGGTGGAAGAAGCCGGTCCTTTGATACTAGCAGCGTCCTTGCTACTAGGAACAAAGGGCATGGCTACTAGTAACAAGGGCATCACTAGTAGTAGCAAATAGCTACTAGTAGCGATTCCCTTTGCTACTAGTAGTGTAGCTTCTTGTTAGTAGTGTAGGAGCTACTAGTAGCGTCCTTGCAAATAATTTGGGGATAGGCAAATGCGTCTTTTTTCCGGAGTCCCGGAGGCCATGCCATCTCTTTTTTTCCGCCGAATGGTGTCAGAGCGTGCCCAGTTAAGTTGGTGCCCGGAATGTGGGCTGTGTAGAAACTTCAACCAGGGAGGTTGTAAAAAGGGATGATTTTCAGCCCTTCACTTGGCATTTCCAGGGACCGACGCGTCATGATTTCCGGTCACAGTGCGACTCCTTGTTGTGGCCGGATGGCTCGTGCGTTCGGGGATGGATGTGCCTACTTCAAGAAAACCGCGTTCTTGTCAACAGGAAATCAAGAACATCCATAACAAAACAAAAACAAAGGGCTCTTTCAAAACAATTAACACAAAGTGATCCAAGCATTTTTTCGTTTTGTTTGTCATTGTTTCTTTCCCCAGGACCCTTTGCATTTTGGTGTCACTGTCCAATCACTTCGGCGAAGGCCTCTTGGAGCATGTGCTGCAGGAGGGCCCTCCAGAGGTGGTTCCCAGCGGTGCGCGGTTCGCGATGGACGTCTACGGCTTGGAGTCAACGCTGCAGATGGAGGGCGAGGCGCGTAGCTGCGAAGACACTTCTGTTCCTAGTAGCTTGTTCCTAGCAGTACGGCCAGGAGCCCCTAGTAGCGTTCATTGCTCCTAGTAGCGATGCCCGGAGCCCCTAGTAGCGTCCTTGTTCCTTCACTTCTTTGTGTTTTCCTTTCCAGAATTCTGCACAGAGTCCTTACAGCATGAGTCTTGTCTCTCTTGGAGCTCTCACCCATGAGGCTTTTCCTGCTTCTTCCGAAATCACCTCCACATCCACCCAGATCTAAGTGTTTATGTAGAATACTGCAAAGGAGTGACCCAATCACCACTGCACGGGCATTCCTTCCTCAACTTCTTCCAGGACGTGGAGGTCCACTGCCTCAGCACCGAGCCCACCTTCTTTGGCAACTATGCCCCGCCCGACGACTTGGACGGCCAGATCATCGACCTGGCGGGGTTCATCAATCCGGGGAATCATGGATTGTGCAAGGAAAATGTGAATGAAGAGATGGAACATCACTTGGGCAAACGAGATGGAACTTGGGTTTCCAAAGTTCATATTCATACAGGAATCCTTTTGCCTGGATGGAGTTGGAGAAGATAGGCTACCAAAAGACCTTCGATTTTGGCCCTCCACTCCTCGTCTCGGACTCCTTCCTCTTTCTGTTGTCCCCAAACGTCCTCTTCCTTTTGGGCAACGGGGTCTACAGAGTCCGCAGCCCGCCAGGTGGCCACTCGCTTTCCCAGCTCAGCGAAGCTGCAGCTGCGGCCCAAGGGACTCACCTTCGCCCGGGACTTGGCGCGACACTCGGAGGCGCCAACGGGCAGACGGAGTGATGGCTCATGAGCTTAATTGGGTCTACCGTGGTTGCCCATCCATATATAGGTGTGGGTGCAAAGCTGCAATAGCCTGCTCGGTTTGAGACTTGTGATGACGGTGTATTGGGGTTTGGAAGGGTTTCGCACAGGTGAGAGCCTGGCAAGCACAGATGGGTGCTACTCGGTGAGCATTTCATTGGCTTTGTTGCACTGGCTGTTTGAGAATTTGTCCTTCCACTGAAAGACTCCTTGGTCCTTGCCTTTTGGTACTTTAATACAAGGCTGTTTGGTCCTTTCCACGTCAATGCCGGAAAGGCTATGGCCTGGTAGTCTGTCCACTTGCCAATCCTTTACACTGAGGACGCTTGCACAGTCAAGTCTTTGGGTATTGTCCCGGAGGCCAGTGGGCCTGAGGCATCCTTCGTCAGTGGTGCCGCAGAAGTTTGATCCCTTCTGCTTTTTTTGGTAGACAGCACAAAGCTACTTGTACCATGTTGACAAGAACAAACTGATGAGTTTCTCCAATTCTTTCATCTATATATACTCCGAGGATGAATAAGGCTTCTGACAATCTCCAAGTAATAATACCTCCCAGTACAGCTGACAGCACCAAGTCATGAGTTCTTCGAAGGAGATCGCGAATCTGAACTACACCCCAGGCGTGGCGGTGAACTTGGAGCTCCCAGAGGGAGGCACGGGATGCTCCGTTGGTCACTGTGATGAAGCCGTCGGAGCATCGTCGGAGCATCCTGCGATGAGAGCAATTGGAACCGTGCATTTAGATGTTTTTAGTATTTGTTTTGTGTGTGTGCGCGTTGTTTGGCGCGTTTGTTCGAAAACCTGTGGATTTTTGTGCACATGTTGATTTTGCGTTGGAGGCGGTCTCTTGCAGAAGAGCCCACAGCAGAAGGTGGTCCTCTCCGACCACTTGCCCATTGCTTTCACAGTGCAGTGGGTCACTGGGCTGCATACAGTGAGTGGAGGATGGAAGGGAGGAATTCGGAATAAGGATGGGAGTCAGGAGACACTTAAGAAGAGGTGCATGGTTTTGTTGGTTTGTGTAGATTGATTTAGACAATTGGTTCAACATATCGATTTCAGGTCCTCAGTGAATTCTAGCTGTTGGTCTGCAGGTCTGTGTTGAATGCTCCTTAGAATTTTAAGGCATGCAAGTTTTTTGATGTTATGGGCAAGCTGAGGAAAGTGAGCAATCGGAGAGACACGAGCTCTACTGCACGTGCCTTGGCTTGCTTGAGCTGCTCCACAATGGAAGTTTGTAGTTGGCCTTTTAAGCCTTGCAAGGTGCGCTCTTGGTCTGCGGAAAACCACATTTCCCTCACTCGAAAGTGTGTTACTGGTAGCGATGCACTTGTTACCTCAAGAAGATCAGGTTGTTTGAAGATTGACACCCGGGTTCTAGTAGCAGAATATCGGCATGCGGCATGTGAAGAACACAACAACATGATCCCGCATGATCCAGGAACAGGATTGCCTCCGCAGGTTGAAGGTGTTGAACGCGGTTGAAGGTGTTGAAGGCCTTGCTGCTGGCAACTTTGAGTTGTAGAATTCTTCTGCTCAAAGGCTCCATGTAGATTCTATGGTATTCAGAGAGGCAACTCTAAGGCCATTGCTATGCAATTACTCATGGCTTGCAGAATGACTCTAGAGCAATTGTCTCGGTCTTTTAGATTTCCCACACTTCGTTCAGGTCAATGAATATGCTCGCTCAGAGCTACTTAGACTTCAACTTCTGGTGCCTTGGCAGGGAGTACCCTGAAGATGCTTGCCAGGTCCAGGTTGTGGTCCGCTGTGTCCTTTTGTACTAGTAGAAACAAGCTCATTTTGAAGCCCTTAAATCTTAAATACATAACAGAAAATGGGGTTTTGTCATGTTCAATCTGGTGTAGTCACTAGCGGAGTCTGTCTCAATCAAGATGTTCTGCACTGGAATGGAATTCAGACCAAACTGCTGGCAATTTGGACTTCCTTGCACACAAGAATCATTCGTTAACCTTTTGGGTACCGCATTTTCTTCGGAAGTAGATTCTGATTCTTTTTACAAAGGCACATATACGCCATACGCCTTGCTGCATTGCAGTTGCGCTTGCACCTGTATCAACCTGTCCGAACACCTGCCCTCACGATGAACTCGAGGACTTGTGGCTTTTTGCCTCCCGGCTCCGGGCCACGGCTGACAGGCGCCGCACGACGGGGCTTTCCGACTTTGTGTCGACTTGGTTCACTTCATAGCGATGCCCTTTGTTACTAGTAGCAAGAATGCGCCTCGTAGTAAGGCCAGGAGCCCCGTTCGTAGCGTCCTTGCTTCGTTCGTAGCGATGCCCTTTGCTCCTAGTAGAGTCTACAATGGTCCACCCGGCCCTGTAGACTATCAAGCACGCTTGGAAGATTGGGAGAACTGGTGATGTCGCAAGAGGAAGACCAAGTGGCTTCCACCGGAGTATAGCACCCTGGGCCGAAGCCCGGGGTTGTCCGACAACGACTTGGCGGCTGCAAAGGACAGCCCGCTGGTCAGCCAGAGGCCTAGACTTCAGGAAGTGAGCATCCTTGAGCTATAGCCACTCCATGTCAGTCTTAACATTAGTTGGACAGCCCATGACAGCCCAAACCTTGCTTCTGAGATTGGGAGCGGGTGAACCGCTGGCTCTGGCGCTGGATCTTCCGCGTACAGAGAGAAGCCTCGAAAGCACAAGTGGCAGGCTGGGAGCCACGGCAGACAAAGCGGATTTGACAAATACTGTAAACATCGGGTTTGACTATGTGAGGTAACTTCATGAAGGCAGGCGACAGGCGTTTCAATTCGTTTCACCATTTCACTACTGCTTGGAACCAGACTAGATTTTACTTTTTCTCGCGCACATTGTCCAGAGATCAGCTTCATCATCCGCACAAGAAAGAGCAGTGTGATGTGAGAGCGAAAGGATTGACATGGTAGATCTTGAGTTCAATTGTACTTAGTGCTCCGATCACTTTTTGATGGAGCACGTGGCATCGCTACTACCAGCAAGGACGCTACTAGGGGCTCCTGGCCTTACTACTAGGAACAAGAAGCTACTAGTGGAGTAGGTGAAGTAGGTTGGATGCTTGTGACGTCGCCTTTTTTGACGCCTCACGTTCTGGACGTCACACGGATCTGATCTTCGCTCTTCGGTTCAGGCAACGTCATGGCTCCAGACGCAGTCCGCCAGGGTGTTTTTGTTCAGCTGCTGATGTCCTTGGAGGAGTCAGAGCGATCGGGGCTTAGTGTTGTGACTCTTTTTTTCGCTGTTGTTCTTTGGGTGTGAAGAAAAGGAAATGCCAAGTGCTTGCGAACTACATCCAAGCCATCCAACTTTCTGCGTGCGCCAGGTCCAGACTTGCTCTTGCTGCAGGAGTTCGGCTTAGCTGAACTTTGCACCGAAGACCTCCAACATTTGACGGACCGAGCCATCACCCGAGTGAAGCGAGAATCACCGAGCTCTGTAGTGGACTTCTGACGATCACACGAGGATAGCTGATCTAGAATACTGAAAAGGCAGCTTTAGACATACACTAGCTGTTCTCCTTTGTTTTATCCGGCAAACATCGTTTTGATCAGCCCGCCCCCCTCAGATGCTGCTTTCATACTGACTGTGCATCGCATGGCATTGTGCAGGAGCGCTTGTTTGAGCAACGGCCTATGCTAAGACCACTTTTGCAATGCCACTTGGGTGTTTGATAGAGCAAACACGTCTCCAAAGTGTTTACTGTATGCTCCAAGACTTGTCCCGTGAAGATGAGTTGGTGCGTGTGGACTGATTTGATTGATTTCAATTCAAACCGTTTTGTTGTTATTTGAGACATGTTCCTAGTAGCTTCTTGCTCCTAGTAGTAAGGCCGGGAGCTCCTAGTAGCGTCTTTGCTCCTAGTAGCGATGCCCTTTGCTCCTAGTAGCTATGCCCTTTGCTCCTAGTAGCGATGCCCTTTGCTGCTAGTAGCGTCCTTGCTCCTTTGTTCAGTTTGAGGTTATGACATCGTGAATTTGGCTCCGAAGCTCCACGTGCGCCGCGACTGGGGCTGTTCCTTCAGCGACACGGGCGACTTGGGCCGAAGAGGGGCGAAGGGGATCCGAAGGGTGTGAGGAGATGTGAACTAGTAGCATCCTTGCTAGTAGTAATGCCAGGAGCTACTAGTAGCTTCATGAGGAGATGTGGAGAGCGGAGAGCTGAGGTTTCTAGTCACTCTCATGAGACTTTAAGATAGAAAAGTGATGAAAAGTGACTTGTCTAGACTCTAGACTGCAAGCGGTTTCCACTATGCACGAAGAACAACAGCTTGCTTGGATGGACTGTTCAATTCTCCTTCAGGGAACATATGACCATTGCTGAGGTTTGTTGCTGGCGAAGAAGAGTCTCATGGAGAAGTACCAGCCAGAAGCTTAGAGTGTTGGGCTCCTTTGGGGATCTTCACTCTCCAACGAAGCGAAACAGAAGGAATGCACCCAAAGCGCAAGCTGTACTCCAAATCAAATTCTACCAAGTCCCGAAGATACCTCAAAGCTTCAAGAATCTAAGAAGCGCGTTTTCTTCAACGTGTGGAACTCGTTGGAGCGTTTTCTTGAAGAGAAGTGAGCCTTGGATAGGGACGCTACTAGGAGCAAGGGCCTTACTACTAGGAACAAGAAGCTAGAAACAATAAGAAGCTATAGACCTTAATTAGAGCGCCTTAGCACGTTTTCTCACATCCCCAAACTCTTTTTTCCAACCACTCCCGCCCGCTGGAGGTTCGAACCGTTGAACTGCGCGGCCAAGGGCCAGGCCTGTGAGCTGGAGCAGATCTACTCAGCGGCCCGGACGGACGATTCCAAACAAGAAAAAAGAAGATAGAAGACAGAAGACACACATAGATGCATATTTGGGTCATTTCATGTCATTTTCAAGTGGTCAATTCAACTGTTTCTTTTTGTCGTCAATTTGAGTGCACTTCCATTTCTGAAGGCACGGTGATGGCCTCATTTTTGTCACCAAGGCCAATTCAGGGAAGCCCATTGTTGGTGCCCAGCTGCAGGAGAAGAACACGGGGAAGCCCTTAGCAAACTTCTTCGGAGCTCCTCAACTTGAAGCAACACCAGGAAGGAACGATAAGGAATGTGCTGAAAGCAATAGGAACAGGACGGAACAAGTGTTTGAGGATTGGATTGAGGAATTTGGACATTCAAAGGGCTTGCGGCTTGAGAAAAACGCAAGAAAAAGAGTTCATAGTTGCATTGCCGACTGCGATCCACTTGAGGTTCATGCGGAGAAGTCAAAAACAGTGCCTCGATTGCGATTGCCATGTTTCACGGCATCCCGTCCCTTGATCGTTTGGGTCGATTTCTTTTTTGGGCGTGTTTCATTTTTTTGTTTATCTCTGGCACTCCCCACTCTTTGCAGGCGGAGGTGCTGCGCGGCCTTTTCCACTTCGCAGGGTCGTTGCCCACATTAGCTCCTGGCCTCAACTTGGAGCGGTTTGCTCAGTTAGGAGGGATTGTTAATATACTTTAATGGTAAAGAAAAAGGACAGACAGAGGAAGATCCCCAAAGAAAAAAAAGATTAGCAACGGAACAACCTGCTCGATGTTCTTCGGGTCGGTTTGCCTTTTCACATTTTTGCACCCCATTTTGCAGCAGAATTGCGGGGATAATATAATCAGTCTAAAATTGTGTGGTTTGGATCAGTCACAAAGGAGGTTGGTGCAGTTTCCCGGACAGTGACATGACTTTGTGGTTTGATCGATATGTTTTTTTGCATTTCTGTCAGCTTAGAGCCTGCTTTTCAACCACACCGCTTCGCGGCGCAGACCGCCCGCACGGATACTTGTGCTCTCTGAGCCGGGGAAAGATCGATGGGCTCAAAGGGTCAAGGCGTGTTGTCAATCAGCCTCACAGGTACAAACACGCACACACTGTCAATTATGCAATTCTATTCGGGCAGCATAACTCACATTATCAATAGTTTTATCGTTTTCTTTCGGGAAGGCCACAGCGGCAAGCACGCACACGATGTCAATATATAATGCATTCTCACTCGGGCAGCATAGCCGACATCGCCAATGATTCGCTCGTTTTCATCGGCTTTTAAAAACATCAAAAGCACAGCGTTCTACAGCAAAAATAGCCCTTCTAAGCTAAAGCTCAATGAGCTATCTACTCCAAGTAGCAATTCTAGCGGCTTATGCGAACTGAGACAACGCCTCAGCACCTTCGGTGCGGGCGGATTTCTCTCATTGCATCGGCCATTTCTGAGGTGGTTGGTGACTTCAACGCGGTGTTGCGGGCACCATCCGCAGAGATTCCAGAGAAATCTGCGTGTTGGGAACTTTGGACCAGCAGTGTCCAAGAATTTCCGTTCGAAGGACCTTTACGGGTCGAAGCCCACTGAGCTGAAATTGGCACAAATCGGACAAATCCAGATTGTTTACAAACAGCTTTTGTGGAGGTTGGTTGAAGAATTGCATATTTTCTTGGCATCCAACGTCAATGAAACAGAATAAAAGGTCACTATCAATTAAAGTATTTTGTTGTCACAACTGTGAGTGGCCCCAACCTGGAAGTACCTTCATTAGCATCACTGCTTGGTCATATTCGGTGCAAACACCAGGAAAGAATTGAACTCAATTCTTTACCCTGCCTGTAAAAAGATGGTTGAGGGGTTGGCTGCATGGAACATTCCTTTACCGGAAGTGGCACAATCCCATTGTATATATTATACAGGTTTCCTGCAAGTCTATGCCTATGCGCATTCTCTGAATGTGTTTGAATTCAACTTGATACGAAGACTTTGTCACCCGCAAGTTCACCTCAGTGGAAGGAAGCTTAACGTCTGAAGTCTTTAAGTGTAGTTTCAGGTAGGGCAAGCAGCATAGCGACACCATGCTGAAGTTTGAGACATTTTCCTCAAAGCTGAACATTGCTGTCAAACTATTAGATCAAAGCACTCTTACAGAAAGAAACAACGAAATTAACAAAGATGGTGAAACACAGTGAGACACCTGTCTCAATTCTTTTTCGTGAACATTCAGATCTCTTCAGATGGTGGACTTTTAAGGCGTCGCCCACTGCATACAGTGCATGACACCCGAGATTCTCGACGCCACGGGATGATTCCGCGCAGAGCGTCACCATGGAATCCGTCGCTTGCGAAGGATCCTAGAAACTTGATCTCCTTTGTCATCGGAAAAGAAACAGGGAAGAGAAGGGAAGGAGGGGGCAACAACCGGAAGGAAAGAAGTCAAAGAACACAGATTGTTTGGGCCTTGCACAAGATGTGAGATCACTTGAGGCAAATAGCGAAACGTTTGAGTTCACGGGGTAATATGGATGAACACCTCGAAAGGTGTCACGCAATCTATACGGCTTTGTCGGACCTTGGTCCTAAGGCTCCTGAGAAGGGAGAGAAGGGGAAGTCTGAGGATGGAGGCAGGTCACATTTCAGACGACGCATGGTTTGGTCACTGCCGCAACGACACCCTGGCGACGCACTCGCGGATGCGTGGGGTTTCCGTCACAAAAGTCCGCGGCGTTTCTCCAGGCAAAGGGAAGTCCGGAAAGTCCAAGGGAAAGGACCGCAGCTTTGCTTGGAAGGCTCCGCAGCTCTGGCTTTTTTTTTGTCTACAAGCTGTAACGTAAGACACACGCTCAAATAGATCAGATTGTCAACGATATCAGAGAAGGGTAACAGGTGCCTTACTAGTAGTAACAAAAAGCTAGGAACAAGTGCCACGCTAGTAGTAACAGGTGCCTTACTAGTAGTAACAAAAAGCTAGGAACAAGTGCCACGCTAGTAGTAACAGGTGCCTTACTAGTAGTAACAAAAAGCTAGGAACAAGTGCCACGCTAGTAGTAACAGGTGCCTTACTAGTAGTAACAAGAAGCTAGGAACAAGTGCCACGCTAGTAGTAACAGGTGCCTTACTAGTAGTAACAAAAAGCTAGGAACAAGTGCCACGCTAGTAGTAACAGGTACCTTACTAGTAGTAACAAAAGCTAGGAACAAGTGCCACGCTAGTAGTAACAGGTGCCTTACTAGTAGTAACAGGTGCCTTACTAGTAGTAACAAGAAGCTATTAATTCACTCGACACGAGACACGATGCGAGGACGCTCCAAGGGAACCTTCCATGCCACCACCCTCGCAGACGGCAGGGGCCTCGGCCCTGCTTGCCCGTCTCATTGAAACTCTCGTTGAAACTATTGAACACATGCTCTGTCCTGCAGGCTCCAAGCGGGGAGAAGCCAGTGGTTGTCTCCGGGCGCTTGAAGACCCTTGAGGCCAGTGACGGCTAAACAAGTTCATGGCTGGTGAGGTAAACCAAAGCCCACAAGGAGGAAGGAGTGGAGGTTTGACAAAGATCGTAGCATTTCGACGGCGTTGAACCTGGTGTTGCAGTCCATTTGGTGTGGCACATATGCCATGGCAACATGAGACCTGCTTGGTTGGGCTCACAGATGCTTCACCTGAAATACATGGTCCTTGGGATTAGAATAGACCGCCTCATGCCTCCTGCCTTCAGGACATGTGAGCTATCACTTCCACTTCTAAGCAATCAAATCACATGGATTGTTGTTGTGCGTGTCCAACAAGCAATCCACCACTGAACCTTGGTCCACAGAATGTCAATGGCAGAGCTACGATAAAACACATTGCAACCTTTTGCTCCAGGTGCTTTCTTTCTGGTGTTTTTCTACAGTTGCCCAATTTGTGTTGCGGATGTGAGGTGAACATGGGCAGATCTTTTAGATCGAACAGGGGTCATGTAACAAAGATCGTTTTGAATTTGTTTGTATTTCAACCTCGGATCCGCGCAGTTTCAGCTGAAGAAAGTCCTCCAAGACTGGAGTGGGCTTGCTGAGGAGCCGTGCTTTCGACTTGTCGACTGATGGATGAACCATGGTGAGTCATGGGGACGGCCCCCTGCGACGGCAGCGATGGTAGCCTGGTAAAAGGATGCAAAGAGTAGGACACGCATTGTTGATCTTACAGAATCTGACTTTTTGTGTATCGTGGTAGCATGGCTTTTGCTGAACCAGCATCCTGAATTGCCAGAAGTGTGCTAGGACTTCGATGCAGACTGCCATTGTGACTCGGGTGTCAACCAGGTTTCTCTTACAAATGTGTGTTTTCCAGGGTTTAGGAACATTTTGTTTGTTGTTCGAGGCTCTCAATGAGCCCAAAGGACATGACCCATGACCGTGGTATGATGTCATAGGTCATAGGACGACTGTATCTTTGCACGTCCTACATTGCCGACAAATCCCAGAAGCACTTCAAGACACCGGGGATAAGGTCCATGATTGAACTGCAGCTACCACAGCTACTATGCAAATCTGAAATCTGACATTTTCCTCTGCAACCCCTCCACCTCTCGTGAATCTCATCGCACACTTCACTGAATCTCAATCGGCAGGACCAGAAGCCGCAGGCCATGCAGATCTTCATCGATAGGATCGGCTGGGGAGCGGTTGTTGCAGACTGACGTCAACGGGTTGATGATTGTGAGGCGTGGACGTTTGTTTGTTCACTTCCTCAAGACGTCTTATTTCACCCTTCCGGATGAACGAACACCAAACAAAATTCACCACGCCACCTCTCTGGCAAGGTACATTCTCTCCTTTACTTAGAGGCATCACCTCGCATCGATTGAAAAAAGAACAATCCAAGAGGCCAAGAGGTGATTCCCTCGGAGGAACAAGCAGCTCACAATTCCTTGTTCCTTTTTGGTTGTGTGGATGGTTTTAAAGTGCTCGTTTGATGTAGGGGGTCGTCCAATGCCGCAAATGAGAACTAGAGGTATTGCCAAATGCACTCATCACGAATCCATACGAATCGCAGAATACCCTTGAAGTCAAATTTTGAGCAATTAGGTTGGAGGCCAGTGCTATTAGGGTCTTTGTTTGACGACCGTGAGACGGCTCGAACTCGCTTTGCGGAAGGATACTTGAGGTGGCTCCGATGGAGCAGCAACGTTACGCAATGGAGAAGGTTGCGAGACAGTCGTTCTGCGATACTGCCGGGACATGCTTGGAATGTGCGAAAAACATAGCTTCTTGTTACTAGTAGTAGTAGTAGTAGTAGTAGTAGTAGTAGTAGTAGTAGGTAGTAGGTAGTAGGTAGTAGGTAGTAGGTAGTAGGTAGTAGTTAGTAGGTAGTAGGTAGTAGGTAGTAGTCAGTAGTTGGTAGTTGGTAGTTGGTAGTTGGTAGTTGGTAGTTCGTAGTTAGTAGTTAGTAGTTAGTAGTTAGTAGTTAGTAGCAGGTAGTAGCAGGTAGTAGTAGGTAGTAGTAGGTAGTAGTAGGTAGTAGGTAGTAGGTAGTAGGTAGTAGGTAGTAGGTAGTAGTAGTAGTAGTAGTAGCAGGAGTAGTAGTAGTAGCAGGAGTAGTAGTAGTAGTAGTAGTAGTAGTAGTCGTAGTAGTAGTAGTAGTAGGTGTCAACCAATCAATGTAGATGAACCAATCTAGGTGAATCTACATAGACCTGCCTCCCTTGTGTATCAACATACTGTGGCATACATTGGAAGACCTTCTATCTATCTATGGGCAGTTCTTTCTTAGGAATCGCGGGAGTCTATCCTTCGTGTAAAACCTCAAGGCTTTGGCCCTCAAGACGTTCCTTCGTTGAGTCCAAACAAAGCAAGCATCAAGTCTCCAAGTATCAAGTCTCCCCATTGAATGTCCATATCGCACTTCTTACTTCCACAATCGAGTTCGAGCACAACTGCAAAAAACACATTACAGCCCACAGCTGACTGGTTTGTTTGCTGCACCTTCGCCAGCTGGTGGCTGCTGGCGTAAATGGGGAAGTGCTCAGCTCAGCGGAAGGAATTACATTTATCATGCTCAGCTTCTTGAAAGGCTTGTGAACTAAGAATTTGCGCTGCTGTTTGAATCCGAATGTCATGTCGAATCCATGTGCTTTCACGTTCCAGTTTTTGCTCTCCCAGGCCCCGGCCGAGCCGGAGGACAAGGACAATCAAGAGACTCAAGAGAGCGGGCCGACTGGTCAGGATGAGGAGCCAAGTGCCGAATATAAGGCCAGGGCCAGGGACGAAAGAAAACGACCAGAAAAGAAAGACGAACTGTCTAAAGAGGTCTAAAGGAATTGAAGGTCTCATGAAAGAGAATGACAGAGTAGAACATAATTGAATGAACAATTGAATCGGAATGTGTCTTGGTGAGTCATGGTGAATCCTGCCTGGTGTTTGTGAAGTGTTATGTCCATCACTTCCAAAATTTGTCCGCCGTTGGTAAACAGTATCTGTGAACGGCGTTTGTAAGCCTCCAACCACACCCCACAGACGATGACGCTACAAAGTATTTCATAGCTGCTATACACCAGTAGTATAAAGAATCCCCCACCACATTATACATACAGGAGGACAACATAAGGA